TGCACTGGCCAATAATTGTATTTGCATACATGCAAAAACGCACAAAAATGCGCACAGGGATTGTTGAAAAATAATAAAGGAGGGAGCCAAACTATCGAGGCTCATTTTCTTCGCTTCAGTAGCTTGATTGTTGGGGGTTTGAGAATCAATCCGAGACATACTTATTGTAGGGCTTTTAAAGACTTCATATTGGTAACCCGGGGGTTTGGGCGCTTTATACCGATTATCCAGGTGCTGCCATTGATTTATGATTTTTCAAAAGGCGATTGAAATTTTCAGTGCAATCAACGATGAGATTAGCGAGTGTTCCGGGAAAATTGTGGGAGCACAAGAAGAAATCAGCTTTTGCAGCTATTTTGGCGTACTATATTGCTGGCAAGACTCTGCGATGGAAAAGGTTCATAGTTTATTTGTAGTTAGAAGATTGTCTGCTTTTAAAAGTGTGAATCCAGGATTTGTATTTCTTAAGCCATTTTCTTCAATAGATAGTAGGGATATCTTTGCAAGTTTTGCTCAAATTTGAAGCTAGTATGAGTTGAATTTATATCCTAATTTTGTCCTTAAAGTGCTTTCTCTTCCGTATTCTTATCAGTTATTTATCCTAAAAAAGGCCGGTATTTGAAATTTTTATTATTGATTTGTGTTTGAAATGATCACTCTTCCATATTCTTACCATCAAACTATGTGCTGCAAAAGGAAGGCATTAACAGCAAGGAAATGAAGTTGGCGGTTAATTCCCTTCGGCTCGCCCAGTTGTTTTTTGATTCCAATGTGATATGCAAATGTCCCGTCTCCCGACTCGAGTTCCTCGCTCCGTTATATATAATAATGTGATTAGAAATGGAATGGGTATTCTTGGTCCAAACTGTTGTGCGACGCAGCTTGGAGTTACTGCCCAATATTCCGCTCTTCCCGGTTGGTTTCTGTTAGTTTTTGTGTGTTTGTGTGTGTGTGTGTTTTTTTTTTTGAATAAAGTGTTGTTTGTTGGTTTGAGTGGGTGTTTTACGCATCCGCACAGGAACACCCCCTCCAGTCGCGTAGGCCTCCATCCGTCCTTCACACGTTACATATGTCTATCTGTCAGATGCTTATCGTTGATCGGTTGTTTGAGGTGATTGTTCTTCTAAATCCTAATCAATGATTAGCCTTTTCAAGGGATTGCGACATCAGAGCTGTTTATGCGCAACAGGCGAAACGATTTGGTGATATGCCACTGGCGGAAACGGAGCGTCTACGTCGAGTAACAGTGCTGGTGGATGCGAAAAGTGGCAGCGCTTTCGATTGCTTCAGCAAAAATGCGTTACCACTGCTGCATCTGGCTGGTTTGAAAGTCGATTTGATCCGGGTTTGTTTTCGTTTCGTTTTTGGGGGTTTTTTTTTGTATTTGTGCGGATTCAAAAATTTATATTGTGGAAACCCTCCTCCTTCGTGTCAGCGTTTTGTGTTTATCATAAATATTTCACTTGTGTGACCAAAAGCTAGGAAGCTGAAATTTTGTGGGCCTTTTTTTGTCTATGAAATGAAAAGAGATATAACTTCAGCCTTCTTAATCAGTATATCTCTAGCTGTGTCCTCAAGTGGATGCGAATCAAGTCTGCATAAATCTGAATCATATTTGTAGATTTTTTTCATACGAACGCTTCCTTGGCGATCGATTTGGGGGTTTCCATATTAATAGAGTGCTACAACATGTCGCTTTTTCCCCAATTTTTTTGTCGTTTTAAATAAAGAAGAGATTTTTCTGGGATTAAACTGGCATTTTTAGGCCACCGATCGTTCTCAATTCGAATCAGTTGCTGAAAACATTGATACGACCGAATGCGATGCTCTGTACATTGTTGGCGACGATAGTGCACTTAGTGCTGCCTTAACAGCAATTTACCGCAAAAATGATGCTGCAGCAGTACCAATTGGTGTTTTTCCGGGTGGCTCTGAAAATAAATCACTGGCGAATTTGGTGCCAAATGTCTTTGGTTAGTGATACTTTGCATATGACAGTAAAACCTTGCATTCAAAATGTAAATGTGCATTGTTATGCTGAGATTATGAATAGTTAAAGTCTAAGTTACGTGGAATAGCGACTAATTTTTGAATTTTAGTCGACAATATAAATTTTTGAATTTTAGTCGCTATTCCACGTAACTTAGTCTGAATCTCCCCACCCGTGTAGCTAACTTTTTCAGTTAGTTTGACCAACGCCACATCGCCTGATGGATAGCTTGCTGGTGATCCTAACGTTCGTTTCGTTTTCTAATGGCATTAGTGGCTCAGTCCTTCTCCGGATAGAAATACGTAGCAAACTTTAGCTATTTCAGGTTATCCTAGGTGCGGATTAAGCACCACCACTTTGTCCCGTACGTTTCTACTCCCAGGATATGATAGGATTTAAAAATAAGGTAGAAAAGGTACTCTCCCGACTTGGAGAACTGAATTATACGTTTATCATAGATTTTTTTTTCTAAGCGTTAGGGTAATAATTTAAACTGAAATTAAAATTTTGATGAGATCTTGAGCAAAAAAATAAAAGACGCAAAAATATAGTGAAGTGGATAGCGCATCGCATCTGGGTATGAAAAGAAATGATTTTGTCCACTCTGGTGCTACCTGTTTGTAACAGAACTCTTTGTTTAGGGCAGAATTTTTCTATTTATAAGGCTTATGAAGATTTGCGTAAGTATTGTTTTTCTGCCTTTGTGACACTCAAAAACCACATAAGACATAGAAGTTTTGTCATTTTTGTTCATCTTTCTGTTACAGTTCTTCAAAATGATATTCGTCCTTATTGTGAAAGTGCAATGGCATTGATCGAGAACACTGTTCGACCTGTATACCTCTCCAAAGTAAACATTGTAGGTATTTTTAAGTTATCATTTCGTTTACTTGATCAAAAAGAAGTTTTAGTGTCACTGTATGCCAATGGAGGCTACCCTTTGGGCGG